GACTTTTGACGATCATGTCGTCCACGTATGCTTCCATGTTTCGTCCCAGTACTGACTTGAACAGCTTTGCCACCATGCGAGTGTATGTGGCCCCGGCATTCTTCAATCCGAACGGCATGACCAAGTAGCAGAATATCCCTTTGGGAGTGGTGAAGGCGGTCTTCTCTGCGTCCTCCTCATGCATGGATATCTGATGGTACCCACAGAAGGCGTCCATGAAGCTTATGAGTTCACATCCTGCCGTCTCATCCACCAATTGATCTATATTGGGTAGTGGAAAACGGTCCATAGGGCATGCCCTATTGAGGTCCGTGTAGTCCACGCACATCCTCCATGTCGATCCTTTGGGAGCTAAGACTACGTTGCTCAGCCACTGTGGGTAGTAAATTTCCTTGATGTGCCCTACGTTGAGTAATGCGGTCACCTCCTTTTTCACGAACTCTCTTCGTTCTGCCGACATATACCTTTTTCGCTGATGCACTGGTTTTCTGCTGGGGTCGACCGCGAGCTTGTGGGTTATGATCCTTCGATCTATGCCCGGCATGTCCTCTGGCCCCCACGCGAACACCGTGTGAGAACGGCGAATTACATCCACTATTTGGGCCCTTAGCTCTGGGCTTAAGCCTGTGCCGATCTTCACCACTCGGTCTGGTCTGGAGGGATCGAGAACTATGTCTTCTGTCTCTGACACGGGCTCGGCGCGGGGCCAGGCCTCTTCTTTTTTGAAAATTTTCTCCGCGATCGTGTGGACCTGTAAGTCCTTGCTGCCGATCTTCTTGCACGCCTTCACGTAGCAACTCCGGGCTGCCCGTCGGTCGCCTCTGATGACTCCTATTCCATTCGGAGTGGGGAACTTCATACACAGGTGTTCCACAGATATTATGGCCTTGAGGTCCTCTAGTGCTGGCCTTCCCAGTATGATGTTGTGGGCACAAGTGAGCCTTACCACGATGAACTCCATGTCCAGCTTGCGAGCGTTGGGGCTCGTGCCTATCTCCACGGGCAGGGTCACCGACCCTTCTGTTTCCACCGAATCCCCAGTAAACCCAGAGAGTGGAGTTCGTACCTCTTTGAGCTGGCCTCTAGGTAACCCTAACTTAGTGAAGGCGTCGTAGTACATCACGTTAACCGAGCTTCCCGTGTCGACCAAGATGCGATGTACGATCGTATCATTGATGTCCATCTTAATCACCAGTGCGTCGCGATGGGGTAGGGGGCCCTCGGGGAGGTCCTCGTCAGAGAAAGTGATGGCCTCCCGCCTCTGCTTCTTCCCTTTGGGAAGACTCACCACTTCTCCTACGTACAGCTGCCTGCTCCACTTCTTCCTCTCTGTGGGTGTGTCGCCGCCAGCTGGTCCACCGTAGATGAAATGTATGGTGTGTTTCTTTTGTCGTCTGGGCGCCATCTCGGTTTCTTTCTCGCTGTCATCCTCCTCCGATATCTGGTCGTGCTCCCTTTTCTTGGCGTTCGAGGTGGATGGCTCGGCCCCATCCCCCTTCCTCCAGACATTCTTTGGTGGATTTTTTGATGGATCGTGCTGCGGCTGTTGCTGCTGCCTGGATCGCTTGACAAAATGCCGGAAGTAGCCCTGCTGGATGAGTTCTTCTATCTGTCTCTTTAGCACATTACATTCGTCCGTGTCATGCCCGGGTTGCCTATGGAACCTGCAGTACTTTGCTTGGTCCCCTTTCGGGGAGACCTTCATGCATTCCGGTGGGAACTCGACTATTCACATCTCCTCAGCCTGTTTTAGGATGACACTGACGGGATGGGTAAGCGGAGTTAGGTTACGCAAGGGAACCAGGCGAGGCCGTTCATGGTCCCGGCCTTTCCCTGCAGCCGGGTGGTTCGAACGTCGCGCTTGGCTGGGCGGACCAGCTTTCCCAGGTTTTCCATTCTTCCTGCCGTCCTCCTCATCTTTCTTTTTCCTATCGACGTCCTCTGCCTCGGCATAGCGGCTAGCCGTCCTCATCAAATCTTCGTAAGAACGGGGGTGGTGGGCGTTTAGCTGCTTGTGAAAATACCCCGATCTCAAGGCATGGATGAATATCGGGATCGCCGCCTTGGAGTCGAAATCGTAGACATTGTTGACTTCCTTTTTCCACTTGATTAGGAAGTCTTTGAGGCTCTCGCCTCTATCTTGCTTTACTACACAGAGGTGAGAGAATGGTTTCTTACGCTGTATGCTACCGGAGAAGTATGTTAGGAAGCTTTTTGACAACTCCCCAAAATTTTGGATCGACCCGTCCGGGATGGTGTTGAACCAATCTTGGGCCGTTCCATCCAGGGTGGACAAGAACGCTCGGCACATGATGGCGTCCCCCGCCCCGATCATTACCATGGCAGCCTTGTACCTAGTCATGTGGACCCGTGGGTCAGTGGCTCCGGTGTACGCCTTGATGGCAGGTAACCTGAAGTCCCTCGGCAGGGGTACGTCCATGATGCTTGGGGAGAACGGTGCTGCCATCCGTACCTCAGGTTCCGGCGACTGTTCCCGTGCCTCCACCCTTCTTGCTAACTCCTCGATCCTTCTCTGCAGCCTTTCGACCAGGGCCGGCTCGTCAAGGTGTCGGCGCGGAGCCGGCTGCCGCTCCTCCCTGTGTCGTGGGGCTGGTTCCTCGACGTTTCGTCCATCCAAGTGTCGGTGTGGAACCTGCTCATTAACGCGTCGTTCGCCTGCTGAGTGCCGACGCGAAGCCGGCTCATCGCGTCGCTCCGTCGAGTGCCGACGCGGAGCCGGCTCATCGCGTCGCTCCGCCGAGTGCCGACGCGGGGCCGGTTCGTCGAAGCGTCGCTCATCCGAGTGTCGACGCAGAGCCGACTCGTCATCGTGTCGGCGCGGGGCCGGCACACGAGACTCGCCCATCCTTTCTACGGGCGATCTCTCAGCTTCCCTTTCCTCGTGTCGGCGAGGGCCTCTAGCGGAGGACCCCCCGGCACGCGACTCCGGCCTTTGCCGAGCGGGAGCCCCGTGTCCCAACCGTTCCAAGGCAGAGCGGGAGGGCCTAGGTTGCCGTCCGGCCGGTCCGCTCCTAGTGCGACGCCCTGCGTCCCTCGCGGCACGTGCTGCGTCTTGGGCGTCCACCCTCCGCGGGGATTCCACCTCTATTTCCTGAGGCGGGGGCGCTTGGCCTTGCAGTCCCATCGCCACTTGGTTCAGTGCCGCCGCCACTGCCTGCTGAATGGTCGCTTGGAGGTTCACGACTTGGTTCGCCCCTCCATTGTTGGGCTGATCTCGGAGGTCACCTCCATTGTTGAGTTGGTCTCGGAGGTCACCTCCGTTGTTGAGTTGGTCTCGAAGGTCCCCGGGCTTCCCGTTGTTGAGATGTTCTCGGAGGTCCCCTCCACGATTGTTGGTGAGTAGGTCACGGAGGTCACCTGAGGCGTTTCCATTGTTCACGTTGCGAGAACCGTGGGAGCTGCGGGACGCCATTCTTTCAAGCTTGTTGTTGAAAGAGAAAGGGAGTTGTGTTGTAGCCTGCTTGAGTATTGGATTCAGGCTCTCAACGAAAGCACCAATGACGGTAATAACGTTACCGGTAAATAATAATAACGATAATCTAATAGCGATGTGTCAGAGAGACAATAGTGGTATTGCTCTAGTTCTCAGTATAGAAAGTACAGTGTGTCTTTGCTAGCCGAGGAGATCCCTATTTATACTTAGAGTCCCAACGGTAACAACACGGACATAAATGAGGAGCCTGGTCTTTAAGTCTCTCTCATCAATGGGGGCTTCAATGCTGTCTTCAATGTCAGTAAAGGTGGCACTTGTTGGAATTCCTGACCGTTGGAGTTTCTATCCGTTGGGTTCCCATGTGACGCTGAGTCAAGAGTCCATGCCCATTTGTGATCCGGGTCGGGTGCCAGCCTATTATCCTGTCAGTGGTGTATTTGAGAAATTCGTGTTAGTGCCTTCCCGAGCGGTCAGTGCGACCATACTAATAGTTATACGAATATACACCATCCATGTTAGAAAATGCATACCAAAAAAACATGCACAAATTCGATACGCATCACCAGAACGCACCACTAGGTATGACTAAAAGCATCACACAGTGTTCAGAATACACCATTGGGGTGGTGAGTTATATGGTGTATTTTTTGGGTGTGTTGTGTGTTTTTTGGTGTATTTGTGCATTTCATTGTGGTATTTTTTCCTAACACTATTGGTGTCTTTTGTTAACACTGTTGGTGTATACTGACAAGCGACCGATATAAATAACCACTACAATTACCATAACACCCCCACTTACCAGGACGCGCTTAAATCTTTAAATCTTCAGAAATTAGCCGCTGCCGTTAGATTAAGCAGAATGGACGACGCTGATATGGCCGCACCGCCGCACCTAAAGCCACTGCCGCATATGAGCCTTATTATTATATATATATATATATATATATATATATATATATATATATATATATATATATATGGCCAAATGGGCATGGGACTTTTTGTTAAAAAAGAGTTAATTTCAGCAATGGTTCTCCGACTATATTGATTTTTCAAAATTAATCCTCGACTTTTAATTTGAACACTTTACATCTTTTGACTTTTAATGTCTTTCCATTTGAGGTCCTTTCGTCATATTACGGTAAATTAGACTTTAAATGAAAGGGTAAAGTAGTCATTTCATTTGCCTAATATATAATTCTTCGTATTTCTTCCTTGTATACTGATTTCGGACATCAGATTCACTTAATTGCTTAATCCCTAATGAAATTTTGTTCTTCGAGTATATTTAGGGATTAAGCAATTAAGTGAATCTAATGTCCGAAGTCGCGCATACAGGGGAAGAAATACGAAGAATTATACATTAGGCAAATGAAATGACTATTTTACCTTTTCATTTAAAGTTCAATTTACCTTAATCTGACGAAAGGACCTTAATTAAAAAGAAATTGAAAGTTAAGGGACGTAAAATGTCCAAATTAAAAGTCGAGAACTAATTTTGAAAAATCAATATAGTCGGAGGACCATTGCTAGAATTAACTTGTTAAAAAATTTATAAATAGTCGGACTTCATTTACGAAGTGCCTTAAATTTTTGGCGACAAAGCTTCCGGCGAAGAACCTCCCAGGCCACCATAGACGAATACCAGCGACGAAGCTGTCACTGAAAAGAGCTTAGGCGACGATTTCTTATAAGCTGTCACTGGAAAGAGCTTAGGCGACGAATTCTTATCTCCTATATCATTTGCTTTTTGGGGTTTTTTGATTAGTTGATTTCAAGATTTTTCTGCCCCGACCGCTGAACGGAGAAACCATGGCATCTCGAACCTTGGCGATCCATCTTTTCAGGAAGGTCCGAACCGTCCAATATGGGTCGCCCCGCCTCTTGCACCACGGGCCAGACACTGTGGAGGAGCTTCTCGATAGGCACATCGTCAAGGAGGAGAGGAGGAGTCTCAACGACGATGATAATGAAATCCTGACCCGCCAGCGGCTCACCAGCACTCGCCGCGAGGCGCTTAGTCTCTACCGGGACATCATCCGGGCTACCCGGTTCTTCATGTGGCCCGACTCCCGAGGCGTTCTCTGGCGTGATATTCTTAGAGAGAACACCCGGAAGGAATTCGAGGAGGCGCGATCCGAAAGGGACCCGGAAGTTATCACGCGTTTGCTCATTGGGGGTCGCGACGCTCTGCAATCTGCGCTTGATAAACTTGTTGAGAGACAGAAGCAAGAGATCCAGAAGCAACAAGGCAATTCAAAATCTTCTCCAATTTTGTGGTAATATTTTTATATGATTGTTTGATTTTCTCAATCAAATTATTCATGAACTATTATCTTTTTTCTTTAACTTTGCATTTTCATCTGTAAAGGTGAAACCCTCTATGAGTTTGCATATGCCCCCTAAACTGTTGAACTATATAAGATTTTATAAACTTCTGATATTTTCAAGGATTTATAAATTTGTTGCACTGAAAATATTTTCAATTTAGTGTCTTAATTCTTTTTCTCTGTATTTTTAGGCATTTAGCTAAATAATGTAGCTCATAGTTGTATAGGATTATGTGCTTTCCTTTTCTAATAAATGGATGGAGGGTTGTGTGATTTCCTTTTCGGGTTGTGTGAAGTAATGCCCCAGTGTGCTCAGACTTTGAAGGATGAGTATGGAAGCTCACCTCTGTTTAATTACCTTCTTAGCAGCCTGAGAAACTAACTTTTCATAATGTAGCAGTTTTCACTGAATGATGGTTTTCCACAACTTTTGATGGTGGCTAAGTGCTTGAATACTAGGTTAGTCAAGGGTGTGACAACATCTGAGAAGTTGAAATTTTTGTTTTTTGTTTTTTGTTTTTTGTTTTGTTTTGTTTTTTTTTTTTTTTTTTTGCATTCTTATGGTATATGTTTACCAAATAATGTATTTGCCATTCCAGCAACCAACTTTGCATATTAGTCTTGTGATGACTAACAATGATTGTTGCACTTTCATTTTCAATAAGTTGTCAAACTCTTACCTTTTAAAAAAAAAGGTTGTCAAACTCTTATGCATTTTGGGGATGTACTTACAATTGAAGGGAGCGCAAGCAAAGATGCGGTGTTTCTCTGTAATCACATGGAGGGCATGTTGTGTTCGAGTAGTATTTAGTTAGAGCACTTTTTAGTATTTAGATTATTTGGATTACTTTGCAGTTTGGTTTCTAAAAGGATCCTTTCTGTTTGCATGGGAATCATTGTACCCTCTTATTATATGAGGAAGAATTGGTAATAAAGGCAAGTAGAAATTTTAAGGGAAAACCCCAGGGAGTTTGGGATCTCAACAAAACCCCAGCCTTTATTCTTCTGTTCAGTATTTTTATTTACATTCCTTTGGCCCATGATGTCTTTGAGAATTAGCTTACAACAAACTCACTGATTTTAAAGCTTAGTTGGGGTGATTTTGTTGACGTGGTTTCATTTTAAGCTAAAGGCTCATCTTATTTGTTTATAAAATCGGGAGTGAAAATCTTTGCTTGTAATTTGTATCTATTTGTGTCTGATATCAGACGGAAAACATACAAGAATGAGTAAGTTGCTTGCTATATTAACATGCGTTTAGGTGATTGTAATTTACCTTTATGTGATGCCCCTTTGTTTGGTGCATAATGTTGACAGTGTTTATATTCTTTAAAATATAGGTATTGATATTATGGATTTGGAGGGTAGGAATTGAAATCACTAACATTGACATTGCTTGCTTGCGAATTTTTACTTGCTGGGAATTGCCAAATTGGTGATGGAAGATGGGAGGAAATGCCTGTAGTCATTTCCATATTTTATCCCCAGAAACAAAATTGATTCTTCCTCCCTTCCCTCTCTTTGAATTACATCTCCATTTATCTTACCATTCCCAACAAGTTAAAGTAATTCAAAGAAAAGCATCAACTTAGAATTTCCCATGGTTAAGTTTCCATTTATACAGGTTTATTATTATATAATAATAGTGCTTATTTATTCCAGTTTGATATTTCTTGGATACTCTTCCTTGTTACCTTGTTCACTTTAAGTACTATAAAAATTTCTTGGTTTTGCAGAGTGGAATCTCAAAACAAGCATGCTATTTTAGGTTATGACTCTCATTGGATTCAGACAGCAGGTAACTCGGGTCAGGGTCAAGTTTATTGATCTCCAGAACAGATTTATTAAGAGGATATGGGGAATGTGAGGGGATCAATGAGAGAGGTTGACCATTTATGTCCTCATTTTGCTTGAGTTTGAGTCAGAGGCCTGGAGATTGCGGTGATGCCAATGGCTTTATCTCTCGAAGCGCCATTAGAGGGTTCTTTAGAAAACAATATATTGTCAACACAAAATCTTCCATGTATTGACATAGAGATTAAAGGAAAAACAATTGCTTAAGAAGCACAAGGTAGTCCAATAGCTAAACTAGCTACTAGAATGGTATTCAAAGGGATCTATTAATTGTTTGAGTGTTGAAGTAAGATATTGTCCAATTTTATAGCTAAACTACTAAAATGTTTTTCATGCTTTTATCATTAATTCTACAATACTGTAGGTTCTGTTGAAATAATAGTATTAAATTTTTTATGATAATAATAATAATAATAATAATAAAATCCAAAACTCTTAATATAATTTTTCTAATAATAATAATAATAATAATAATAATAATAATAATCTAAAACTCTTAATATAACAGGGCGTTTGGTTGGAGGGATTTTAAATTTCCTTCCCACTTAATTCCCACCTAATTCCAAAGGCCATTAAATTCCGTAGTTTGGTTGGAGGGAATTGCAATTCCATGGAATTGCAATTCCCCCATTTTCATGGAATTAAAATCCAATGTCCCCCCTGGTATTTTAATTTTTGGAAAAAAAAGATAGTGATGAGTCAAAATTACCCCTTCCTTTTTTAACCTAAAATAAATGTCTAACAACAATAATGAACATTTTTGACTTTATACTACTTATTCCCTTTCAATTCCCATGTATACCAAACATTGGAATTGAAATTCCCAGTAATTCTATTCCTGTCAACCAAACACTGGAATTTAAATTCCCACTTTATTCCCAGTAATTCAACTCCCAAGGAATTACAATTCCTTTCCCACATAATTCCCCCCCTCCAACCAAACGCCCTGTAAGTTCTTAATTAAATTTTCCTATTAAATCTGTTTATAACAGTAATTACAAATATAGAATTAGGAAAAATTAGCCGGATTTCTAATATAATTTTCTTATCATATTTTAATTAATTCATACTTTACTTAATATATCTTATATAAAAGGCTTATTTCCTTTTTTATTATATTGATCCATATGTTAATCTGTTTATTATGATAATCTATCGGCGATCTGAATCGTTGGAAATCTCCGCCTCATGGAGGCGAACACGGAAAGTGGTGGAAGACCGCCTGAAGAAGCAGAAGAAATCCTCCAGAACGTCCGGTGTCTGCTAGGGTTATTGCGTCGCGACTGGTATGCCATCTCCGACGAAGCGATACGCTGTTTCCGGGACGGTAAACCACTGCCGAGACCATCTCGTGCCTTCGTCTGTCCAGCGCCAGTCCATTGCCATCGGAATCGAGAGGATCAGACGCCATTGTCGCAAAGTTGCGATCGCGAAGCAGTTTCGTCTTCGACAGCGTCGGAGGCCACCTACGCCGGCGATGGACGACCACACCTCGATCTCTGGGGCCTCCTCGGGCACTCAAAGGAGCGATCGCCATGCTCAGATTGCCAACCCCAAGACCAAATCGTACTATCTCTTTGATGGCTATGCTCACCTTTCCTCTGGTCTTACTTGTGGCCTTGCTGGCCTTTCTGCCGGTATGACAATCGGCATTGAGGGAGTCTCCGTCGCTGAACCTCTATGGGTTAAACTCATTTGCATCTTCGCCGCACATTTTTTCGTGTTGTTGCAGCAGAATTAGTGGAATGAGGATTTGAATTCACGTTCAATCTTTGGTGAGTAGTAAACTACAATTTAAGTCTATTGCTTGCAAGAAGAGTTGTGATTTCACATTGAATATTTGCAGTCTTAAACAAGATGGTGGCGGAGGCTTGTGGGTGATCCAGTAATGGCGCCGGGTGGGCCTTACATGGTTTGGAGACTCCGGCCAATGTAGTGGCGGTGCCGGGGAGTCAACAATTTCGGCCTAAGTTTTGATCTTTCGGAGAAAGAATGCGAAACATTGACAAGATGCAAAAGACCGAGAGAAAAAGATGAAGGGTAAAATAGGAAATAAAATATAAAATCTATTCCTGAGACGCGCTGATGAGCGGGTTCGACACCGACACTTGGATGGACGGAACGTCGAGGAACCAGCTCCGCGTCGACACTCAGATGGACGGCACGCCGATGAGCTAGCTCCACGCCGACACGTAGAGGAGCGACAGTCGGCCCCGTGTAGGCACCCTGACGAGTCGGCCCTGGTCGAGAGGCTGCAGAGAAGAATCGAGGAGTGAGCAAGAAGGGTGGAGGCACGGGAGCAGTCGCCAGAACCCGAGGTGCGGATGACAGCACCATTCTCCCCAAGCATCATAGACGTACCTTTGTCGAGGGACTTTAGGTTGCCGGCCATCAAGGCGTACACGGGGGCCACCGACCCACGCGTCCACATGACAAGATACAAAGCTGCTATGGTAATGATCGGGGCAGGGGACGCCATCATGTGCCGAGCATTCTTGTCTACCCTGGATGGAGCGGCCCAAGACTGGTTTAACACCATCCCGGATGGGTCGATCCGAGACTTTGGGGAGTTGTCCAAGAGCTTCCTGACATACTTCTCCGGTAGCATACAACATAAGAAACCCTTCTCTACCTCTGTGTAGTAAAGCAAGATAGAGGCGAGAGCCTCAAAGACTTCCTGATCAAATGGAAAAAGGAAGTAAATAATGTCTACGACTTCGACTCCAAGGCGGCGATCCCGATATTTATCCATGCCTTAAGATCGGGGTATGTCCACAAGCAGCTAAACACCCACCCACCCCCGCTCTTACGAAGATTTGATGAGGACGGCTAGCCGCTATGCCGAAGCAGAGGACGTCGACAGGAAAAAGAAGGACGAAGAGGATGGCAGGAAAGGTGGGAAGCTGGTCCGCCCAACCAGGCACCACGCTCGAACCACCCGACCGCAGGGAAAGGCCGAGACCACGAACGACCTAGCTGGTCCCCTTGCGTAATTTAACTCCTTTTACCCATCCCGTAAGTGTCATTCTAAAGCAGGCTGAGGAAATGGGAATGGTGGAGTTCCCGCCAGAGTGCATGAAGGTCTCTCCGAAAGGAGACCAGACAAAGTACTGCAGGTTCCATAGGCAACCTGGGCACGACACAGATGAATGTAACGTGTTGAAGAGACAAATAGAAGAACTCATACAGCAGGGCTACTTTTGACATTTCGTCAAGCGGTCCAAGCAGCAGCAACAGCCGCAACATGATCCACTAAAAAATCCACCAAAAAATGTCTGGAGGAAGGAGGATGGCGCCGACCCGTCCACCTCGAACGCCAAAAAGATAGAACACGACCAAATATCTGAGCAGGATGATAGCGAGAAGGAAACCGAGGTGGCGCCCAGACGACAAAAGAAGCACACCATACACTTTATCTATGGTGGACCTGCGGGGGGCGACACACCCACAGAGAGGAAGAAGTGGAGTAGACAACTGTACGTGGGAGAAGTGGTAAGTCTTCCCAAAGGAAAGAAGCAGAGGCGGGAGGCTATCACTTTCTCTGACGAGGACCTCCTGCCCCATCGCGACGCACTGGTGATTAAAATGGACATCAATGATATGATCGTGCATCGCATCCTGGTCGACACGGGAAGCTCGGTCAACGTGATGTACTAAGACGCCTTCACCAAGTTAGGGCTACCCAGGAGCCAGCTCAAAGAGGTACGAACTCCACTCTCTGGGTTTACTAGGGATTCGGTGGAAACAGAAGGGTCGGTGATCCTACCCGTGGAGATAGGCATGAGCCCCAACATTCGCAAGCTGGACATAGAATTCATCGTGGTAAGACTCACTTGCGTGCATAACATCATATTGGGGAGGCCGGCACTTGAGGAACTCAAGGCCATAGTGCCGGTGGAATACTTGTGTATGAAGTTCCCTACTCCGAATGGGATAGGAGTCGTCAGAGGAGACCAGCGAGCAGCCCGCAGTTGCTACGTGAAGGCATGCAAGAAGATTGGCAGCAAGGACCTACAGGTCCACACGATCGCGGAGAAAATTTTCAAAGAAGAAGAGGCCTGGCCTCGCGCCGAGCCCGTATCAGAAACGGAAGATATAGTTCTAGATCCCTCCAGACCAGATCGAGTGGTGAAGATCGGCACAGGCTTAAGCCCAGAGCTAAGGGCCCAGATAGTGGATGTAATCCGCCGTTCCCGCGCGGTGTTCGCATGGGAGCCAGAGGACATGCCAGGTATAGATCGAAGCATCATAACCCACAAGCTCGCAGTCGACCCCAGCGGAAAACCGGTGCATCAGCGAAAAAGGTATATGTCGGCAGAACGAAGAGAGTTCGTGAAAAAAGAGGTGGCCGCGTTGCTTCATGTGGGGCACATCAAGGAAATTTACTACCCGCAGTGGTTGAGCAACGTAGTCCTGGATCCCAAAGGATCAACGTGGAGGATGTGTGTGGACTACACGGACCTCAATAGGGCATGCCCTATGGACCATTTTTCACTACCCAACATAGATCAGTTGGTGGATGAGACGACAAGATGCGAACTTATGAGCTTCATGGACGCCTTCCGCGGGTACCATCAGATATCCATGCATGAGGAGGACGCCGAGAAGACCGCCTTCACCACTCCCGAGGGGATATTCTGCTACTTGGTCATGCCTTTCGGATTGAAGAATGCCGGGGCCACATACACTCGCATGGTGGCAAAACTATTTAAAACGGTGTTGAGACGAAACATGGAAACATACGTGGACGACATGATCGTCAAAAGTCGTAAGGCCACCTCCCATGTCGAGGATCTCAGCGAGGTATTTTCCATTATGAAGAAATTTAATTTGCGCTTGAACCCAAAAAAATGCACCTTCGCCGTTGATGGGGGCAAATTTTTGGGCTTCATGGTCACTAGGAACGGCATTGAGCCGAACCCAGAAAAGGTAAGGACTATCTTTGATATGGAGCCTCCGTGGTCCATAAAGGAAGTCCAGAGGCTCAACGGGCGTCTGGCGGCTTTAGGCCATTTCCTATCTAAATCGGCTGAACGATCCCTCCCCTTCTTCCAAATCTTGAAAAAGAACAAAGGGTTCGAGTGGACGCTAGATTGTCAAAAGGCCTTTGAGGAATTGAAAAAATATTTGTTGTCCCCACCCCTGCTTGCAAAGCCAGAGGCAGGTGAAACCTTAATTTTGTACTTGGGCGTGTCACAGGGTGCGATCAGCTCCGTACTGGTCTAAGAAGAAGGAGGGACTCAGCGTCCCATCTACTACGTAAGTAAAACCCTGCACGACGCAGAACTCCGGTACAGTGTGTTGGAGAAGACAATATTTGCCATAGTCACTTCATAAAAAA